CTGCCCTGCGGGGTTTGTTTTCTGCCCTGCAGGTGGTTCTTTCCTGCCCTGTAGGGGTTTGTTTCCTGCCCTGCAGGGTTTGTCTCCTGCCCTGCAGGGGTTTGTTTTCTGCTCTGCGTCAACGTGCGAGAGTTCCTATTTCACCCTGCAGGTGTCCTTTGCCGGTTCCCTTCAATCCTTGCGGAGGTTTCGTTTCTCCCCTGCGAGGTTTCTTGGCCCTGCAGGGTTTCTTTTCTGCCTTGCAAGGTTTCTTTTCTGCCTTGCAGGGTTTTCTGCCCAAGGGTTTCTTTCTGGCACTGCAGGGGTTTCTTTCCTGTCCACCTGACGAAGGTCCGCGTGCGCCACTCATTTCTAATGTGTCAAATGGAGGTCGAATCTTTTGAGTTACACGAAAAAGGTGGAGCCGTTTTTGTGGTACAGCTTCCTAGAAGATACTGTACCCTACTACCCGTCGACAGTGTGAGCTCTCACATTCCTGCGAGCGTTTACTTCGACCACGGACCCTCAGTCAGAGCGGTGAAAAATGAGAGCGACGAGGTTAAGGGAATGATTTTCTTAGACGGGTCGAAGAAGGACCAACAGAATGTCAACACATGTCAAACAAGAACCTCAAAAGAATACCGAACGCTGCAAAAAAGAACCTTAAAACCACTCAAGAAAGAGTCCTAAAACGAGTCAAAGAAGAACCCGAAAACAGGTCAAAAAGGAACCCTGCACAGGGTGGACAAAGAATTCTGCGCGATGGACTCTAAGTGAAAAAAGCGCACCGCTCAGGGTGAAAGGAACCCTGCACAGGATGGACAAAGCAGAAAAAGAATCCTGCACAGGGTGGAAGAAACCCTGCGCAGGGTTAGACAAAGCCCATGTGTGACAAGGTAGAAAAATGGAAAATGAATCCTGCACATGGTGGAAAAAGAACGCTGCGCACGGTGGAAAAAGAACCCTGCACAGGGTAGAAAAACGCATTTTGCACGAGACTTCCTTCCAACACGCATGTTGAAGAGCTGACTGAAACTAGAGCTAACTGGACCTAGAGCCCTTCTTGCTCGGTTCTTTCTGTGCACAGGGTGGAAAAAACGCACAGGCGAAAAAGAAATCCTGCACAGTGTGGACAGGAACCGTGCGCGATGGCTTCTGGCCGAGTGGTGTCCCATCACGGGCCCCGAGGGTGGAAATGAAGCCTGTGCAGGGTGGAAAAGGAACCCTGCACAGGGTGGAAACCGAACCCTGCACAGAGTGAGAAAGAAATCCTGCACAATGTGGAAAAAGAACGAGACCCTGCACAGGGAAAAAGAACCCTGCACAGGGTGCCTGCGCCCGTGTGGAAAAAGAGCCCTGCACAGGGTGGAAAAAGAACCCTGCACAGGGAGAACCCTGCGCAGGGTGCCTGCACAGTGTGGAAAAGGAACCCTACACAGGGTGGAAAAAGAACCCTGCACAGGGTGGAAAAGGAATCTTGCGCAGGGTGGAAAAGGAATCCTGCACAGAGTGGAAAAAGAACCCTGCACAGGGTGGAAAAGGAATCCTGCACAGAGTGGAAAAAGAACCCTTTTCCACCCTGCACAGGGTGGAAAAGGAATCCTGCACAGGGTGGAAAAGGAATCCTGCACAGGGTGGAAAAAGAACCCTGCACAGGGTGGAAAAAGAACCCTGCACAGGGTGGAAAAGGAACCTGCACAGAGTGGAAAAAGAACCCTGCACAGGGTGGAAAAAGAACCCTGCACAGGGTGGAAAAGGAATCCTGCACAGGGTGGAAAAAGGAACCCTGCACAGGGTGGAAAAAGAACGCTGCACAGGGTTAAAAACCCATGCGTGACAAGGTGGAAATAGAACCCAAACAGGGCGGAAAAAAGACCATGCCCATACTTAGTTCAGATACTTAGGAGCTGCTGCCAATGCAAGGTGCAGTCCAGAAAAGTCCTTTGCATGTGTTTGCTATTTGGGGCCTATGCTGGTGTAATTGTTTTTCCAAGAAACAACTTGGATGTGACTTGCATTTTTGTCCTTTCTTTCAGGCAGTGGAGATGTGATTGGGAAATGCTTTGATGGTTACTTCTGGCTCGCTCCTGGGTGCCGTTCAAATTCTTCCAAGTGCATTACTTTCATTACCGGTGGCTCTGGATGGAGCGGCAATGAACACATGCAGAAGGCAAGCTTCGAGGGATTGACTCTAAACAAAAGTTTTGACCCGCTTTTGGTCCAAAATAGTCGGGCAAACGCGAAAGCCAGCGCCTCTCCAAAAATAATTTTTGTGACGACATGCGCAGTTGCTCAGATTCTTCCGGGAGGTCACCCATTTTGTATGTCCGCCCTTTTTTGAATGCATTTGGGTATATACAGCCAAAAAAGGCTTGCGGAGAATAGGAGAGGACTATAAAGGATCCCTTTTTTTGCATGAGATCCTTGTGGTTCCCATGTCACAGGCGGCCTTTTTGAGCATGCCTTTGGCGTGGACGGTGGGCAAAACGTGGAACGACTTCACCACCCTGCCCATGGATTATACCACCATGTTCTACTGGTGGACGCCGGATACCACCTTCCTCAGGCCCGACTTCGGTGAAGCTTCACACTCTTCACACGAAATTTTTTTGTTGACTAGCGAACGCCAGTCTCTTCGAACAAGACTTCAGCTGCACCTGGTAATAACATGTGGGTTTTCCGAATCGCCCTTTATTCCAAACGGGGCTTCTTCGCCAGCTTGTCCTTCCCTTGCGCGGGAGCTTGCGCTCAACACGCTTCACGCGCGGCCCGAGGCTGGATGCCAAGTCGCTCATCTTCCCACCCCACGATTGGCGCGAGTTCGAACGTGGGATGTTGCGATCGACCGCGACGTCCATCTCGATTGACAAATACATCAGCCAGGACCCGTCTGTCTCTTGTTTCGCACCCGGCTACGCCGTTGTTGACACTGTAAAGCTGAGGGCGCTTTTGGCTGGTCGTAGGGTGAATAGAGTAATGTTCAGCAACTACTGTGCGTTCAGCAACTAGGTTTCAGCAACTATTTTGTTGGTTTTGGCAACTGCGGTTCCGTCGTAGGGTGTTCTTTTCCTGTTTGGGGTCTCGCTGGAATCACTTACACCTTGTGTTTTTCTGCCAGCTGCCTGCTGTCCGACTCGGAAGCAGTTCGCCCACAAAAACGCCGAGAAAAAGCCGACTCGGGCTAGGGAACCATCCAGTGGTTGTTGAGACTGACCACACCAACACCAGCTGTCAATTCATGGACATGCGGACATGCCACACCGAAGAGCTGTTTCGTTCATGACTGTTCACCTTTGTTCGTGACGAAGCGCACCAAATCTTGACCAACCATCCACTGTCCACTCGATCGATTGAAGGCACCAACATCCTTCGATCGAAGGATTTGAATCGACTAGCCCCGGAGATTGAAGAACTCATGATGGCCTACATGGTGGACTTGAAAGACGTGAACGACATCATGTGCGACACTCAGCGCTGGTTCGGAGACGCTGCTTCGGAAAGGCTCCGAAACGCCGAGATGCTTTATATTTTTTTACTACTAGCGTGGCACTTGTTTCTAATAGCTTCTTGTTACTACTAGTAAGGCACCTGTTACTACTAGCGTGGCACTTGTTAATTATTCTCGTCAAGTGAATCAACCTGAAAGATTCGAGATATCAGAGAGCTGGTTGAAAGATCTTGAACATGCATGAACAAAACCTGACGTTTGTCGTTCTTGCACCCAGCGCTTGCTGTGTGGGTGTCCTGTTCGGAAACCTACGAAAGCAGCCAAAAGTTGTTTATATATAGTGGTTTTGATCAAGTCACAAGTCTCGAAAACTCGAAGAATGAGCGCTGAAGCGCTGAAGACGATGCATGCAACATGTATTGGTCCAGAGATGTGTGTACACGTAATTTATTTCGGATGCTTTAGTATTTTCCAGAATAGAAACCACTCGAATCGCTTGGGAATATGGTCCGTGGACTTCACTAGCTGACATGGCCATGTGAAGAAGGATTCGAGACGCTGCTGAACTGGCCAGACTGCATGGCCAGACCTGGAGAGAGCGGGTATCAGTTGTTCACGGCCGAAGCTGACAGATGGCCTGTCGATGGTTTTCAGGGAATCTAGCGCCCACGGTTTTCGGGCTGCGACAAAGCTTTTCCCGGGCTTGGATCAATGAGTTTTGCATGCACTGAATTAGCAGAGGCATATATGAGACTATCCTGATTCTGCTTCCCCGGCACAGAGCGAGTAAACACGAGATAACATGAGCGACTCATCGAAGACGATGCAGCTTCAGCTTGAGGTGTTCTTTTGGTATACAATCCATTCTTCTTACTTCGTTTCTGGCGCCATACACCGCCTATACGGCCCATTCCCCGTGCCCATCCCACCCTTTGCGTCACGCGGCCCCTTCGCACCTGACAGGGGGTCCAGCCACCCCCTCCTCACCTCGAACAGCGCGGAGGTCGGAGGTCCGATGTTTGAACGCCGTGATGAGTCACTTCAGCTCAGGTTGGATGAGCTTGAGACAGGCGATTCCTACTTTGACACTGCCTGCCGCTGGCTTCGTGGAAACAGCGACCGGTGGGTCAAATGGCTGCCAGACAAGACCAAGTGCTTCGCACGATATGGCCTTTACCACGAGAATAAAGATGCTTTGGCTGAAAGTGGCATGAGACGGATGCGGATATGATATTGACATGATCTATGATATGATATTCATATATGATCGATGATCTATGATATATCTGGATATGATCATGATCTGGATATGATATGATCTATGATATGATATGATGTGATATGATATGACATATGTGTTGAATCTTGCGTCAGACAAGGTGATGGGAAGCACCTTCATGATCATGAGGGGGTTGAGGTAGGTGAGGGTATGAAGAACGACTTAGTCCAAATCCATGACACTTCACGATGTGTGACGCTTCCATGACACTCCTGATTTCTGGTGGCCAAAACCCTGTGATCTAAACAAGGCCCAAACAAAGGCAGCCAGGGCTTGAGGAAAAAAAACATCTCAGAGGACGTCGGCGACACGTCGCTCTCTGTGCGAACGGCGAACGTCGCCGTCGCTCTCGGACGTGTTGAGCGCAATGAGGACGTCTTCGTGAGCAATCGCAGCGACCCACGGGGCTTGACCTGCAAGATTTGTCCCTCCGGGCATTTCTCCGAGCCCATAGAGGTGGGTGTGGGCACGGGTGTGGTCCGGTGGGTGGTTCGTCCCAAAAAACACACTCCTTGCAGGCAGGGGTTCCGAGCCATGTGCTTTTTCAGTCTTCATCTTCAGCAACACGGAACGGGGCGGCTTGGTGTTCGTTGTTCTTCGAGTTGCCATGTTTTGTAGTTAGGTCATATGGTCAACCGATGCCAGTCGGGACATGGTCAACCCATGCCAGTCAGCCCTTCTGTCGCTTATGGGGGGCAGATCCGGTTGTCTCTGTGTTCCCCAACACATGGCTCCGGGATCTCAACGGCAGGACCTCAACGGCACGACCTTCGTATGTCAACCCTGCGCGGCCGGGAAATACCAGGCGGCGCGTTGGGGTTTGGAACGAAGAGCTTAGAAGGTACGACACGGTGGGGGTTTGGCCAAACATCGACGCCAGACTAGACATCGTTGTCTTTAACACATAGACCTAGTATCACTTAGTTCTCTTTTCGAAGAACTGTTCATGCCTGAACTCGGATGGCCACTGCTTTTTCCGGGGATGAAATTGCCAGAAAACCCCAGCGTCGACCCGCACAGAGGAAAACAGGTCGACCCGGCGTTTAGTGGACCACCTGGTCAGTTTAAGCACCAAAAGATGGAGTTCCGACATGGTCGGTTTCGGGTCACTGGATGATGCTTCCCGACCATGTCATCTTCCAGTTCCGGAGATCGCAGGAACATCTACAGTACCTGGTGTACCTGGGCCCCCGGAGCCAGCGGTGTCTAAGAATAGCTCCCTAAAGGTCAAGGGGTGTCCATTAACCACGGACGCGATGCTGGACTCGATGAGTGCCCCTTCCAGACTCCGGTGTCCGATACAGACTGATCCATCAGTCGCTTGAAAGGGATCCCAGTGGATCCCAGGCAAACCACTTTTTAAGGAACCAGGGATTCTAGACCAGACATTGTGGGTTTGAGCTTGAGTGATCTACTGCACACCCACCAGTCAGCTGCGCGCTCGTTTCTACCAACCTATGGATATACTTTTTGCTGAACCTGTAACCTCAGTTTTGGCGTCTCCAAGGCCTCCAAGGCTTCGACCGAGTGTGAACCTTGTGGCAAGGGCGAGTATCAGGACCAGATTGGCCGCAGCTCTTGCCAAAGGCGCCTCTTCCGCCATCGGCGCGCGAGTGTCAGAACACCGGAGTCGGAAAGGACGAGGGCTTGAAAGGTTGCTTAACTTTCAGCTATCTTTCAGCTTTGGAATTGCAAATGGATGGGCAATGATGGCTCGTTTTTTTATGCCTCCTCTTTAGGACACCCCGGCCCGGAGGTGTTCGTCGTCCCACTATTTGCCACCGGAAGGCTCTATGTTTGAAAGCTCCCCACCTTCACCCAACTCACCCTCCGCCGTGGCTTGCTAAAGCCGCCGGCGGCACCGGCCAGCGTGCGTTCGCCGTGAGACGAGGTGTGGCTTCGGAGAATACCAAGATGTCCCCGGGCAAAGCAGTTGCATCGCGTGCCCCTCTCAAACCAGTACCGTGGGGTGCCCTTGGCCAGAGGTTGTCGTCGTCGCGTCCAGCGGAGCAGAGCGGAGCGACGCCCCGGTCGAGGTCGGTGGATCTCACAAGGTTTGATCGGTGGGTCGCGGGGTCGCGCGGGGTGTTGCTTTGGTCTCGGGACCAGATTTCAGGTTGACTTTCGCATGACTATAGTCATGACTCGTATACCCACTCTAGACACTATATTTCCATGTTTGAACATCATGTTCCTGAATAAGCTGGGCGCAGGATCTCCGGCCGGTTTGGTTCTTTTTCACCTCAGGTTCGGCTCGGTGTCCATGGCGGACTGTGGATGCCTTGAACGGACCATCAACGTAGCAAGCTCGAACAGCAGGGAGCTCAGAGATGGCTCGAGCCGACAGCGATCCGAGATGGCGCGAGCGGTCCGCACGCGTTGCGAGCGGAGTGTTGATGCTTCAACGCGAGCTCTCTTGAAATAGATAATGATGAAGGTGACTCTGAGGTTTCAGGAGTCTTGCAAGATGCACAGGTGTAAGAGGAAAGAGATCATCCGATTCTGGTCGATTCTGGTCGATGGCCCAGTCGATGGCTCCAAGAGAGGTGGAAGATCTCTTGGAGCCGGAAGACGCCGTCTCCGGACCATGAAAAAGACCGCGTGAACCGTTCTCTGGTGCTTGACCTGGCGAGCGTGCCCAGGTGCTTTCGATTGCAGGAGCTGTTCGGTGGGCCTCAAGTGTCCCTTCGGCTCGACCTTGCAGAGCTTGAGGACGGGCCAGGTACCAGATGGAAGCTCCCTCAGTGCTGAGTACGTGCCGCAGGTGTTGGAAGGCTATTACGCCGAGCAGGAAGAACCCTTGGTCTTGTACACATGCAACTGGGTTCACCGTTTGGCGGTCCGTTTTGGTCTTGATGCGCGGCAATTGGCGGCGAGATGGTTCAATTGCCGCGGCAATTGATGTGCGGAGAAACAGGTTGTTTGGACACAGATCCAGACCCCGAGCCTGGTACATGGGAGGGAGAAGAATTGATACGTATACCGGCTGCTTCCAAGGGCTCACCTGTGGACAGCCCTACACTACTTATACCCTGAAGACAAACATGGACCCTGAAAACCACTGGGTTGGTCTTCAGACGGCAAGGTCGGGTCGAAACCACCGACCGATTCAACCCGGGATGTGGGAGTCTGCGAGGGGGCCACATCCCTCATCGTGTGAGCTGCCAAGAGAGGTCAAGTGACCGCAAATAGGATTATCCTGCATTACCCAACTGGGATCGTCTAGTTCGGGTCCTTCAACCTCGTGTTTCTCTGAAGCTGGTTTTCGGGTTTGTTGGTTTCCCCTCCAAATTCCGGTGCTTTGATAGGGTGGATGGATGGAGATCCAAGGCAAGCCGGCCACCAACTGTCCTGGTGGCAAACCGGGAGAATGCGCTGGTGGCCTTTTAGACAAGCCGTGCAGCGTGTGCGCAGAGGGAAAAGCTTGGAATGGCCAAGAATGCACCGAATGCGGAGATGTGGCCATCTTTGTATGGGCACCCCAGGTTCTGCTTTGAACACGCTTTTGGTTTTGAATTTCATCAAGGCTTCAAAGCAGCTTCCAAGCCCTATAGAGGACATCTGCCATAATCAGTCTTCTTGCCATCGTGCATTTTGCCAGAGCTGCGTCCTAGGCCTTCGGGCTGCTTCTGTCCCTGGTGGTTCTCCTCCAGGCCTATGATTTTGTGGCATCCCATTCCACCGCCGAAGCCACCTCCTTCCAGGCGCTTAGCGCGGCGCTGAGATGCGCTGATAGTCGCGCGCGTGCGACGTGGAAGAAGCTGTCACTCTTAATGATTATCTTTTTTGGGGTGTTTGGAGGAGTCCAAGAGGGTCAAGTGACAAATAGGACCCGGGTACCCAACTGGGATAGTCTAGTTCGGGTCCTTCAACCTCTGGAGGAGTTGTTTGATGAATTGACTTGTTGACCACCTGGGATCGGACGATATTGCTTCTTTAAAAGAGTCTAGAAGTGGAAGAACCTTCCAAGTGGTGAAAGCCCGAATGCCTTCTTGTGACGTCACCGCGCCCCTGCGTCACCGCGCCCCGTCAGGCATGTGCCTTCGCGTTTGGAATTGCTGCGAATATGGTGCCTGGGCAGAAGTCGAGACCGGGGTCTGCTTCGGATTGCTTCGGATTGCTTCCTGCTTGGTCCATGAGCGGGGTCCATGGGGCGTCGCCTCGGCGCCTCGAGGTTCAGAGCCTGGCGATCTTCGGCTTGATGTCCATGACTTGGACCTCGAGCGTCAGCAGTACCACCAACTTCTTGCGCGTGGCCTTGTTGGACCTCGATCAGCTGGGCTTTGGCCACCTGGATGGGTTAGGCCATCCGAAGTGACGAAGAGGTTTTTCGAAGAGGTTTTTCGAAGTGATCCTGATCAAAAAGGATGACGCACCAGAAAGACGCTGAAGTCCTTTCAGTCAATTTGTCGGAATGTCAAAGAGCACGTTGACCCTCAGCTGGGCTGTTGCACGCGAACGGAACCAGATTGCAACGCTGGCAACGCTGCTGGTAGGTCTTGCAATGAAGTTTGCATTCTGGGTGGCTTCAGCTGCGAACGGGTAAGGAGTTCCAAACCCTTTTCGTAGGAGCTTCAGCTCGGATGTAATGTAAGCCTTAAGCGAAAGAAGCATCGCAACGGAATTCATTTGGTTGTATCCTTGATTCATTTGGGGAGGGTTCGTCATCAAGCCTTTAAAGCGTCCTTATCCCATGTCACCCATGCCGCACGATGGGAACACGTCATTTGGACCATGGCATATCGTTCAAGTTCCGGTTTTGCATCACTTTAATCCTCTTACCACATGGATCTTATAACTCCTTCCCTTTAATGTTTCCAGTCTGGCTGAGACGGTCTCCTCTCACACCTGTGGCGTCGGCGGCGGTTTTGAAGCGTCGAACCATTCCCTCACAGAGTTCGCCGGTCAAGAGCAAAGAACGCCTCTTCCGCCTCTGAAGAGGCTACTTGCTCGCAGCTGAGGTTGCATCACGGGTTCGAACAGCTTGCTCCGCTACATGTCCAGTGGAATGATCTTCCCCATGGTTTCCATTTGCTTGCTCTTGCGCTGGTCGTTCTCGTACATGGTGCAGAGGATGCCACGAGCTTGTGCTTACCCACCATGGTGCCCGATGTGGTTACGCTTTGGGGCACCTCGGTGTTTCTTCATGTCGAAGCCCGTGGTGAAAATGCTCTTCAGCAGCCGAAAGCAGCCAGTCAAAGGTTCTTTATATGGCTGTAGATGGGAATGAAGTGAGCAGAAGTGAGCAGAGGACGACAATGAAAGCGATTCAATTTGACAGCATCCTTCGCACAAGTTCGATGTTGTAGGCTGTAGCAACATGTTTTGCAATTATGGCTGCTGTAGTAGTCAGGTGCACAAGCGCAACACGGGTTGAGTGGAATGGTTGCTGAGCATGAAGGCATGTCTGATTTGATATAGCAGCTTGCTTGGACCAGCAGATTTGACATTGAACTATAGCGGCTAGCGGTGGTGTACAGAAGTAAAAACGCTCTTCAATTCGATTGGGTTGATTCATCAACGGTCTACGTCATAAGAGGATCCATCGATGCCTTTGCGAAGTGAACCCGCTTTCACATCTTCTTCTCCCCCAGGCGCGGCGCTGGAGGTTCTTCAAGACTTTCAATACCATGGGTGCCTTTTACCAGATCGGCTTTGCCACGTTGAGCGCTCAAACCTTTCAGCCCCTGATGTGCTATAGCCATCCCAATGGTTCGCAGAGCCTCTTGGAGTTCCCGAGCACCTTTTGCGGCGACACCGAGCAGATCATTATGGCTGTCTTCGGGGTGGTTCTTGGGCCGCAACCGCGGGGGGGGGCTGCGAAGGATGGATCCACTGGAAAGATGTAAAGACTACCAGGGCCCCCTAAGGGGTCAGCCCTAGTATAATATATATATACATATATATATATATACATACATGGATCATGTTGTGTTTGGTTTGTTCCAGCAACACTGTAAGTTCTTGGTAAATCCCATTGGTTGCCTTTTGGGGGGCACCTTGACAAGAAGGGCTTCTGCAGACATCTACTGCAACGCTGGGCTCTATATGGCTTGACTTTCCCGGGCGCGTTTCAGGGCGCCGAACGCAAAAGGCCTCGGCTGTGGCGCGTCGAGCGACGCCTACGCCGCCTCGCCTCGTCGCTGAGGTCTTGCTGGCCACTTGGTGCTGAGGTCGAAGGGACGAATGGAGAGTGGCGGTTTAGACTCGACCCACTCTGGCATGGGGTTCTCGGGAAGATGGTGAGAGAATAGATGGAAAACCAAGCTGTAGACCGGAGGAGCCAAGCCAGCAATCCTTTCGTCATTTGGGCCATGTTTTTCATCACCTCTCTTTCGCGCCGTCTCTTTCGAAGCGACGGCACCGCACCACGGTGGTCGTCCTCGCTTGGCACCTTGGATCGACCAAGGTGGTCGTCGTGGCGGGTTTCTTCATCCTTTGCCTCGTGGCGGTGCTCCAGATGCCCCGGTGGAGTGTGAAACACCACCGCGAGCGGGTGCCTTGGGCTTGGCGCGACGTGTGTCGCTGACGTCAGCGAGACGTCAGGGGGATGGGTTCGAGCTTCCCATGAGCGATGCGCAACGCTGAGGGATGAAGCGATGCGGGCGGAGCAGAGTTCTTGGGTTCTTGGGAGACCTCTGAAGGAAGGACGCAAACTTTGTTGGGTGCCGGAGTTCCGTTTTCGGTACCGGTGTTGCGGTTGAGAGGAACACATGACCGAGCCCGGAGTTATCTGTTCGCCCGGTCAGTTTGTAGGGCGAAGTCAGGCTTTTGCAACACTTTGAATTTGAAGGGAAGGGGCATGGCATGAGATCTCAGAATTTGAAGTGTCTCTGATTTGTACAATGTCCCTCACATTCCCTCACGACTTTCACAACAATCTGAGTCCACCCTCCAACTATGCTCTTGGGTGGTTACGAATGTTTTCTCAATGTCGGTGGCGTTCGTGAGTGGACATCCGCAAAAGACCAACGTGCACCTTCGTGCGACCAACGAATGTCCAGTTTCTCCACTGATCGTTTTGGGATATTACATGGCCAGTTCCGTGTGCAGGTGTGCAGTCACAGTCCGGTATGGTGGATCTGGGAGGAGGCTGACTGGTGTGGCTAGCGGCTAGCACGTGTCACACATTTTAGGACGTAGCGCGTAGCTAGCACTTTTGTGGTTTCTTTTTCCTTCCTTTGTAGACCGCTTGTTTGTACCGAATCAGTGCCGCAGTGAAACGATGTGACACGTCTAGAACCCAGCGATTGAACGATTCGCCTTTTCGGTGGAGCCCACGCGACCCACCACGCGACCGCTGCCGGAGCCGGAGCGCGGAGCCTGCAACGTCTAGGTCCAAGCCTTCACCTTCCTGACGAACAAGTTTCGCTTCAACGTCTGGTGGTTCGGCATGGCCTTGCGCCTCGACCAGACGTTGATCGACGCAGTGCCTCGGGTCGGGTCGACGCAGATCGACCGTTGCGGGGGGCGGTTCGGGTCGGGAAGAAGCTCCGGTGTGAACCACGGTGCGAACCACAGCGCGCCTTCCGCGCGGCACGCGAGCGGCGTCCGGATCCATGACCGACCTCCGGGCCGCCCGATGGAACGCACCACATGGGTGAGTCCGAGTCCGCCAAGTCCGGGGCCGTCCGATGTCCGACTCACGTCTTCAGTCGTCTCTCTCGTCCGAGGCTCGCACGAGGCTTTGCTTTGAGTGTGACCGTGGTCGTGGGCTCCGATGTGCCTGAACTGCGGCTTGGAACGAACGCCCGGTCGACCCGAGGACGCCCACCGCCCGAAGGAGTCAGTGCCGGTGCCCGAAAAAAGGGTGTGGCACCACCGGCCCGACTCGCCTTCCTCGCGGTTTGCTGCGAGGGTTTATTGGATGCCAGACCCCTGCAGACATGTTTGATTTATCCAATCTGATGCAAACCACGAATCATTCGTCTCGCCCGTTGTTCTAACGGTTGATGTTCGGAATCTTTCGTCTGCACGTCCAAATCTCCATGTGTGAGGCAGGTGGCACTGGCGAGTGTGATCCTGCTGCTCTACCTTTGTGTCTTGGTGCGCTTCTGGCCCTGGAAGGCTTCAATCCTGAACTATGCAGATGCCGCTGTTTGCCTCCAGGCTGAAGACGGAGGCCGCGGGCGCCGTTGTTGTTTGATGAAGGCTTTAGGGTTTCCCCAAAGAAGTCGGAGCGCTTGGAGCACCCACTGCGCGCAGCTCGTGTGGTCTTCATTTTCCCTATGCTCGTGCGGTGACCGAGCATAGGGACAGTGGTTGTTCAGAACGTGTGGGTTTCCGGAGTGGTTTTGAACGTCAGACGAGGAATGAGGCCAGTCGCATACAAGCGGTGCGGCTCCTTGACAACGATCGATCTTTGAGAACTTCAGGGCGTCCCATCAACTCATCACTCTTCGTGCTCGGACGCGTGTCCGGTCCGCAGCGCTTCGTGTGGATCGCAAACCAAGGCAGTTGCCTCCTGCTCCTGATCAACCTTTCCAGAGATGCCTCTCTTCCGTCGACCATCTTCACCGACGACTTCTCCATGGTGTTCCACGGCCGATCAACGTTGTTCGTCGAAGGAAAGAGAGCAGGCCATGCAACGGACATGATACAATTCTTGACCTTGGAGTGTTCCCTTAAGCATGGATGCTGGATCTCGACATCTGTCGACCAAGCTCTGAAGGATTCCAAGTTGAAGGGGAGTTCCAAAACCATCGATGAGTGCATCTCTCGAGTGCGGTGAGCGACCTGCTTCTGATATCGGGGTCACAATCCTACACTATTATCTCCAGTCAGGACACCCAAACAGGAACGCTATTAGGTTGGAGGCCATCGCTAGTGCCGCTAGTAGGTTGGAGGTCTCCAGTCAGGATACCCACACAGGAAGCGCTAGGGCCAGGGAATAGCGATCAAGCGGACATGATTTGGCCAAAAGCACCCAGACAATTGCATGTGACTGGCCCGGAACTATCCCCCACCCAGCTGAACATTTTTGTGCGTTCCAATGAAGCGTCACTGGGTGGCATTGGAAGCATCAAGAATCGACCTACCACAGAACCAAACGCCTTGGCTATTTATATCTATTTGGGCCAGGAAACACCTGTCATGTCCTTGTCACTCAATCCTCCTGGATCGACTGGGCCTTCCAACCTGACCGTTGGGGACGTCCCCCCAAAACCCCGAGGAGGACGGAGGGACGGAGGGACGGAAGGTCTCCCCACCACGTCAATCTTGGGTTGGAAAGACTCGTTTCCTTTTTCAACATGGGACGACCATTGATTGATTAGCCGTCCCTTTTGGCTTGACAGTTCCAGCGCTGATGTTCAGGATGTTGTGCCTGCTTGCAGCCTTTGTGGCCACTACTGGGATCTTGTGCGTCTCGGCGCTGATTCTTTCCAAGTGCAAGAATGGAGGCGCAGGAGAGCGACGCGATCGCTTTCGGCAAGTCGGACATGTGTCGATTCATGTCGTAGATGTTTTGTTTCAATGATGAACTTCTGAACGTTTTAGCACCTGGCAAAACTGCCTGGTCTCCCTGTCGCCTGGTCTCCCTGCTGCCTGGTCTCCCTCCATTTACCACGGGGCATGGCAGCGCTCGGATTGGCCCGGGCCAGTCCGCTTGTTGGAGGCCGGTCCGCGCCATCTGTGACGCGAAAACCCCGCAGGACAAAGCCTGCTGTTGAACTTCAGCCAACCTAATGTGACCAAGATTTCCAAAGCAGTGAGCCTTGGCTTCAAGTCGCCATGCCATGGCCTGATAGGACATGATAGGACATGTCGAAGGGGATCGTTCTACATGCCGGATATCAGGATGATTGTGGTGCAATGTTCGGTTTGAGAAGAACTCCCAACGAAGGATCACCGGCAAGAAATCCACACCGACGGATGATTCGGCAATCCAGACGGCGCCGAGAAGCGGCGAACCGGCTCTTGCCCGACGTGTTCGGATACGGCGTCGCAGCGGAGCAGCGCGGATACCGAGGCAGGATACGGCGAAGGAGCTCTTGCAGATTGAAGCGGGTCACCTGGAAGATGCGCTGTCGACGATGAACACTTATGACTTGGAAGCTTTGACCAACACCATCACCTTGGTGTCCATGGATTCTTGGCGACTTCTTGGCGCTCTGAAGTCACGGTGGAGCGGTAGCACTGTCCTTTTCGAAGAAGTGCAGGGCTACCGGGGATAGTCAGAGGTCCAGTCAGACTGGGTTCGGACGCGGGGAGCGTCTTGTCTTCCTTTTCCGGCACCGAGTACCTCGTCTTGTACGGAGCACTGCCCCTGCTCCACGTTTTTCCTTTCCTTCCCCAGTTGGGCCGTACCAACACTTGCGCGCTTTTGAAATAGAACACAGAAAACAGTATGTCTTACTATGTCTTAGTCTTGATGGTCTTTTGATCACCTTCAAGTGCCCAAAGGACCTTGTTTTACAGACTCCGTGGCCAAGAAGCTTGAGGCCTCGATCAGAATTCTACCACCGTGATCAAGCCGACAAGTGGTTTCTGTGGGAAGTGTCTACTGCCTGGAATTCAACCGTGTAGGTCTGAACCCCAAAGCTCAAAGCCCCAAGGATTTTCTCCCATTTCCCATGAACATTCGTCGGAAAAAAGTCATGAACACGCATGAAAACATGTATACGACATTTTTGGGGGACACTACCATCCTCATCCTCATAAGACCCACCAGACACATCCTTCCAGACATCTGTTCTCTTTCAGGAGCTCTTTCCTGACAGTGTCCCTCATGGTCGTTTCCATCACCGCATCGCCGTGCGCGTGGCCAGTCGAATGAGCCACTGCCAGTCCAGGCGCGGATTGGGCACGGTGAGGTTCGGCTTCGGTCTGGGCACACGGGCCGGGCCTCAACACCAATGAAAGGTGGCAAGTCGAATCTGTGTCAGATGCTATGCCAGCTAGTGTGCCAGAAGATATGCCAGAAAGATCCAGAAAGGATGTCAGAAGATGCCAGATATATCCAGATATAATGCCAGAAAGATCCAGAAAGAATCTCAGGTAGATTGTCGGAAGAATTGCCATGTCAGACACCATGTCGGAACAAGTGGCAGCTTTGATGGCAGAACAAATCTGGGAGTACATGGCAGAGCACATGTCAGAACAGAACGGAAGCCGGGCCATGTATCACAACACATGTCAGAGGATATGCAAGTTTGGTGCAAGAGCGCATGTCAGAAGTACATGCCAGAAGATATGTCAGAACACATGCCAGACTTCACGGCAGGACTGTCAGAACACATGCCGACGTCAGAACACCAACATGTCCCCTCGTTTGATGTGCCAGAACACAAGAACGCACAGGTCAGGTGAAAACAAAGAACACGTGCCAGGACGTCACATGTCAAGCGTTGGTGATCGCTCCAATCCGCTCCAATCCGCTCCCTCCGGGCCTCGGGGAGGTCCGATACGACTCCGTCCGGTGTGTGTCTTCACACAGCTCTCATCCGTCCAGTGCTCACGGTCTTGGACTCTGATTTGTGTGGCAGTTGCCGTAAGGCTGCATTCTGGTGGTGCTAGTAGTGCGCCAGTTTTGCGAATCTTGTGCAAGCAAACAGCTCTGCATGTCCTTCATTTCTCATGGGTGGTTGGGGCGGCACTTGAAAGGTTGGTGCCGCCGCCAAAGACTTTGTCAGGCGCCATAGGGCCGCTGACCAGCTTGGTTTGTTGACCCAATTTGATCAGCAACAAGACTGACCCGTGGACGATGCACTAAGGCATAATTGCTAAGACCTGGATCAACTGAAACTTCACCGTCGGTTTTGCCCCCTCCCCCACTAAGGTGGAGGCCCGTTTGAGTGTAGCCTCTTAGATGTTTTTCTTAGCCGATTCACTTGTTGTTGCCTCCATGGGCCTACCACTGGTGCAGGCCTGCCTTCTGCACACACTTTGATTTGTTTGGAAGACTAGGTCTATCAGGAGTTTTTGCTCTTTTCCAGAGCAAGTTAGAGTCCTATTGAAAGGCCATAATGGAACACTGGTTCCACTTTGCTCAACTTTCTTCATTGGCCTCAGGCAAATGATGCAGTTGCGTCAAGCATTGTCCTCTTCCATGCTGCTTGGTCGCACGGGTGGAGTGGAGTAAGCAGCTAACTATGGGTCCAATGGGCTCGGATACGCTGAGCGGACCCACCAACCACCAGAGCTGAATGTCATGGTGGGCTGCAGAACAGCCGGGAGCAGGTGTTTGGGGAGATGCACGTCAGATGAGGGAAGAGACAGACCCAGATGGGCATTTATCTTCCAGCAACACTCCGTTCGGGTGGTTTATCATTGTTTATAGATATGTTTTGGCTCTACGTTTATAGAGCCCCCGAACCATACAAATATAGATGTTAGCTGGTCCAATCACCACATCCGGCATGCTTCCAGTCACTAGCTTTCGCTCGAAGCGCCGAAGCCGGGCTTCCACCACCACGAGGATGTCTGGAGTGGCGAGCGAGACCCTCCACCATCGCCCAGACGAAGCGGAGGAGAAACCGGTGGAGGCCGGGGATCACGACCGCGATGAACCGAGGAGCCCCGGATCACGCGTCGAGCAATCGCAAGCGCGTTGGCAGCGCAGCTGGCTCAATGTATGCTGTTTCACAGCTGCTTTGAGTCGGCTGTTGCTCTGAGCTAAACAGCATGTTTGGGCCTGACAAGCCAACTTGTGAGCTGAAGTGCAGTTGAGGAACTCTTAAGTTGTTCCCGGATCGATCGCTCCAGTCTGGCGGTGTTCGGAGACCGGAGGCGGCTCGGTTCTCCGCGGTCCAGGCCGCGCCGCGTTGGACATTGACACCTTCGGATTCGACGGAGACCGGTGAGCATGAGGACAGCCAGGCAGACTGGGCAGGTACTGGGCAGGTCTGCATGGGTTTGGGCTTCACATGAAACTGGCATGGGGTTTCACGGTGAAAGCCTGTGGCTGGCCGCGCGGCAGTTCCAAAGGAGTCTTTCTTGTTTCCTCGGTTTTGGCCAGGAGAATCGTGCTGAGCCGAATGAGGAGGACGCAGATGAGGACGGGTTCTTGGAGAAAAGCTAGTACCCTCACTCCAACAAGCATGGAAGTGGGCAACCTTCTGTTTGTCGAGGACAGGCATCTTCACTTGGGCTGCATTCCACTTCCGTGATGGTTGGATAGAAGGTATATTAGACAAGATGAAAGTTCACGGGTTGAGAAGCATGCTCTGCTCTGGTGTGGTTTCCGTTTTTTTCTGTTCCAGTTTGACAGAGGAATCTTCCAAACCCGAAGCTGTAAGAAGAATTCTGTTTGGGTTTGCAATCATTGTTGGCTTGACTAGCCTTAATATCGTTTTAGCATGTTTTGTCTCGCTTTTGAACACCTGACCATGCAGGTGCAGGCTTGCAAGCGAGAAAGCTCCATTAGTTGAACCAACAATAGCCAACATTTTGGTGAACAACACTTCCTAGTAGTGGGTTCATGAACAGCACACATCGAAAACCACATGCATCCACCGCACGCGGCTTTGCAGCTCAGCTCGACGACGGTCCGGTTGATACGGTCCGACGCAGGTGCTGAACCAACGGATCGGCTGGGCCGATCGTGGGGCTACCGTGGAGGTGATGATGTGAGGCGCGAAGAAAGGCGGAGAAAGCACCGGACCGCCGGAGCGAGGTCACAGTCCCGAATTTTGCGCAGTCCTTTGCGCGGATCACCAGCTTTCCAACAAAGGTCGAGGTCTATGTCGTGTAAGAAGGTGTTCTGAGATAATTGGCCGGGGAAGATTGGAGCCACTTCATTTACTTGGAGAGCTGGTGTTTCTTCCGGAAGTCCGGAAACGGAAAGGTCCGATGCAAGTGGAAGGTCCGAGATCGGAGGTTTGGCCTCGTCGTACTCAGATCCTGATCCGACTTCATTGATCACGAGCATTTGTGTGATACAAGATCCGGATCTCTCCAGATGTGTGGATGCTTTGTCATTTTGCCCCCCCGAACTCATACGTCGATGGTGGCATTGTTTTGAGATGTTTCAAGCATTTGGCCGAAATACCTCACTGTTTGAGCAGGAAACTCAATGAACAATGATTGCTTGGTGGCTCCTTCGAGCGTTTTTCTCGATGTCAGAGTTTCTTCAGAAGATCAGGGCAGGACTGGTTCTGACATCGATATCGATGCATGCAGCGCTAGTAGCATCAAGAGGTTCAGACATGTTCAGGCCGGTTGTGAATCCACCAAACTCAGAACGAACAGAACGGCCAGCTCTTCAACTTACCCTCCCAGAGATGGTCCGCACGGGAGAAGAGCGGGGTTTGACTTCTGCGGCGTGACCCCTTCGACACCACCCCAACCGCGACGTGATCGCGCAAGTGAAAGTCTGACCAAGCGCCACGGCCACTGCCTCGACGTTTGTACACTCAGAACGACCGCTGCCTCGTGGCTGGAGGCCTTGAAGGGGCGGGCAATCATAGTCAAACATACGAAACTCCTCCCAGCCAAGCTGGGATTTTCCCTGCTTTTCCCTTCTGGAACAAGCAGTGCCAGTGCCACGCTTTGTGTATGGCGCGCATGTGTGGCGCGCACATGCGTACCTGCGCTCCCGCAAGCTGAACGCGGAAGCAAGCTGTGGCTCCGGAGCGTCGCGCTGGTCCGGAGCGTCGCGTGTCCCTTTGGTGATCGGATTGGAAAAAGACACGTGGAACATGGTGTTTCTAGAACCCCAGATGTCCTAGATGTCCTCCAGCCAAGACATGTCTCACTTTCAAGGTCCAGATGTCCTCCAGCCAAGCGGAGAGACTCCTTGTGACTCTATACCTATTGATTTCCTAAGAGGTCTTTGGAGAGTCTCAGAATTTAAAGGTACATACCCCAGACACTCCATGAGACTGCCATATATGCCGATGAATTGACCCCCAAACCCACCCCAATTGATCGGCAGTCCTATGGCAGTCTCATTAGTCGTGGGGAACTGTGATGAGTTCGTTGTTTTCCATTCACATTGAGTGGCGAAACATGGCGAAACCATTGACACCCGGTGATGCGCCACTGGGCAGCGCCTGTCGCCGTTGGGCCCTCCGCTCTACTGCCAGCCGTCTGGGGACCTCGAAGTTGGCCGTTGCTCCGGTTCGGTCGGACCTTCCTTTTTTGGGTCCAAAGGGCGGCGAAGAACAGTGACCCACAGACTTCCTCGCTTCCTGAAGCCCCGAAGAACAGCATAGATCGGATATCCCAAAAGAGCGTTTGCAGAGCGAAAAAGCATCCAAAACCCATCCCTTCTGTTCAGTATCGGATGGTTGGTTCCCGGATTGGCTGCTTTTCCCGGATTGTCGAGGCTGCAACCAGTTTTCCGCTCGTGATGCATGCGAGGGATCTCCAGTAATCCGAGTGCCTCATGTCGTAAGCACTAACCCAAAAAGAACACATCATGTCGTGCTCGAAGGTGGAAGGGATGAGTGAGTGATCCCACGTCCGGACGCAAAGGAAAACCACGATGTTCAACATAGTTCCTGTTAAGATATCGAAGGTCTGCGGCAACGTGATGCTGGCAACGTGATGTTCTGCACGTACTGTTCTTCACAACGGGTCCAGGGTCCTTTTGCTCGCTGCGCAAATCATATACGAAAAAAAGCCTCACGAAAAACGGAGAAATGATGGTTCCCTTCCTAGTCAGTGCTGCGCTGACGGTGTTGTTCAGCAGCAAACAACCATGCTCATTTATCTTTTTGGTAAGTGAGCTCTCGTTTTTGTGGATCGTCAGGTAGTCAGCGGTTTTGTTTGTCAGACAGCGCAGTCAAGGTTGACACTTTGCAGACCCTACACTTGTGTATATTTGCAGCAGACGAGTTTGCGGCAGAGCAACACGTGTCAGTTCGTTTGAATTCGTTTGATGTTTGATACCACAAACATCTATTTGTTGCTATTTTGGAGCTCACTGCTTTTTGTCCCTCTTCAATCAAAACTGCCTTTTCAATCAAAGTTTTTCACAGATGCATTTTGAAACCTGCGACCTTCCCCGACCGAACTGCGACGTTGGCCGACCGCAGTTCAACACGCAAAACCCAACGGCGCTTGAGTTCTTGACGCCAATCCAACGGCCGAAAAGAGGCCATATCAATCCAAACTTACCTTCGCATAGATTAGACACGTCAAGTTGGATGTCCCTCTCTTTGTCCGTGCGGCGGGAGGAACTCCATCCTCGCTGTTGAGGCTGTTGAAGCTCCCTCCCCCAAATATTCTCGGCTAGATACTTTTATCCGCCTTTAGTGGTGTTCGGAAGGGATTCACTTTCTCCCACACGGTTCACAGCAACGGCATGTTTTGCCAAGCTGTTGTCATAAAGATCATAAAGGAGCCGTTTTGAACATGGCCAAATTCAGCAAGAGCACACGCCTACGTGGAAATCGGATGTCTGAGGTACCATTCACGAGGTCCACTCTCCCTGAATAATTTGCTAAGAAGGGAGTAGGAGTAGGAGTAGGAGTAGGAGTAGGAGTAGGAGTAGTAATTAGTAGTAGTAGTAGAAGAAGAAGTAGAAGAAGAAGAAGAAGAAGTAGAAGTAGAAATAGAAGTAGTAGTAGTAGTAGGAGTAGGAGTAGTAGTAGTAGTAGTAGTAGTAGTAGTAGTAGTAAGATTGATCTAGTTGCGGGGCTCGCATTCACTGGGGGTTCTAGCACCCAACAACCTTATTCAGGGGAAATTTAGCCACCAATAATACGTTCTTTCAATTTGGGTGAATTCTCGAGGCTGTTTGACTGTAATCTTTTGAACTTTGGGAGACTAGGTTTTATTTACTACTAGGAACAAGAAGCTACTAGGGCTCCTGGCATCGCTACTAGGAGCAAGGACGCTACTGGGCGCTCCTGGCCTTACTCCCCTTTCTGCCATTCATACAGGGAACAGTTCCCCAGCTCTGGCGCAATGCGGAACAACCAAAGCACCGTGTCGTTGGGTTTCGCACCTCGCTCGGACCGGTGGTTTCCACCCACCGCTTGAACAACCCAAAACGCCGTCCTTCGGATCAGACGTCCGGGTACATAGCTTCTTGTTACTACTAGTAAGGCACTTGTTACTGCTAGTAAGGCACTTGTTTCTACATGTTTCTACTAGCTTCTTACCTATTGGGGGGGTTGCACCGGGGTCAATGTCATATGCAATCCCACTTGGTCGCCTGAGAGATTCCACTTGGTCGCTTGCATCAAAAACGCTCAGTTGCCGGAGAGATGAAATTCTTCTCGCGAGGCTGGGGTGAGAGCATAAGCTATTTTTGAGCTGCTTTTTCAGTGGTGTGTGAGCATCGGCTTAGAAGCACCAATCCTTGAATTTCTCAAGAGAGGCGTCTCTTCAACTCGGAGCTGTGACACGACACTCTTGTGCTGTCATGTTGTACTATGTTGCACTCGGAGCCTGACTTGTTTCACTGACGATTTCATGGTTTCAGGATTCACAGACTTTGAGGCCGTTTCATGTTGCGACTTTGGGCCTCGCTGAACCAGAAAGCGAGCGACTTTGAGCTGTGAGACGCCCGTGCGACGTCGCCTGCTCGACACACCCACGGTTGTGGTCTGCCTACACGACTTTGGCGAAGCGACCGAAAGGGTGGTCCCAACGGGTGGGGCGAAGGGTTTGTGTCCGGGTTTGGTTTCTTGCGCCAGAACAGACGGCCGCTTGACATTCGTCCGGTGATGTGGGAAAGGACCTGATGTGATGTTTGAAAACAGTAACAAGTGCCTTACTAGTAGTAACAAGAAGCTATTAGGACCTAAGCTGTGAGAGTTTTACGCACCTGTTCGGAAACAGGTCGACCTAGTTTGGTGGTCGAGGGCTTCGGACTGGTTTCGCGTTGGTTTCCCAGTCCTGCCCTAGACGATATATGCTGCTATGTCGCGAGGTGTTTGGGACTGCTCGGTGGAGTAACAAAAAAGGGTTAAGGGCGCCATCATGCAAGTTTATTTCCATCTTCGACTCTAGGTTCGAGTCTGTGTCGGCAGGGTTCGAGGTAGCGCGAGTGTCACGGTCCGTTCGAGGTGTCACGGTCTTGAGGCAATTGAAATAAAGTCTACTGGAGGTACTCATTGGCTCCTAGATGTAGCCAACAGGTCTGACCTCTTCTTGACAGGGCGTTAAACACAGACGTCTTGGGGCGCCTGAGTGTTTCCTGACGAAACTCTCGGGGCAACGAGCTCGGCTCACCGAGGTGTTTCGGCACCTGCCTCGCTCGCGGAGCTGGTCCGCCAAGGTCGAAGATCCGGGCCAACGAAGATCCGGGACAACTCCGCCCCGTGAGGGCTGTCTTGCATAGATGCTCCAACTTCGTAGCGAACCTTGTTACTAGTCTACGAATGCTGGTAGCGATGCCAGGAGCCCCGAAAAAGAAGTAGTACACGCTTCGGCTCCTAGTAGTAAGGCAGAAAGAGCCCCGTTCGTAGCTTCTGCATATGGTTCTTGGTATTTTTTTCCTGCAGTTGTCTGGGGGTTGAAGGGACCCTGAAAGAGGCGTTCAAGCAATATCTTGCTGTTTGGGAGTTGAGCTGAGAAAGTTTGTTCCAAAACGCCTCCAACTGCGCATCATAGACAATGATCTGATGAATTATAGCATGTTTTTGCCCTGTCCCAACAGGCTTTCCTGGTAAGGATTTCTTTTGTACCTTTGGATGGATAACATTCCTGTCCGACTCAGATGGAGCTTTCACCAAGCGCTCCAAGAAGCCAAGACACCAGCCAACACGCGAAGGAACCAAGCCAAAAAAACAGGCAAGCAACATAGGCGATCACAACCAACCAACCAACCAACCAACCAACCAACCAACCAACCAACCAA